GTAGGAGGATTAACGTTCTGTACTATTTACTGCAGTTAGATTAATTCTTGGCTGGGACATTTTTCCCTTCTTCAACATGGGCCCATACAGAGACCACTCTCTTTGATATGCCAGTCCAAATCCAGATTTAAGCCTGTTTAAAGCAATGATTTCAAACAAACCTTTCATCAGTTCTTCCCCCAGATCATATTTAAGGAAATAATAAAATTACAGTGTATTAAGCCGGAGAAATATTCTTAATCCCTTTTTGGTTTTACACTCATAATGAGCCTTAGCTTTTCCTTTCACATGTACTAAATAATTTGGGAAAATAGCTAGGCCACTAAAATTGCCAACCCTGGTTCCTTAATGATTAGGATTGTGTTTGTATAGCTGGAATGATACTACTAGTACAGTTCCTTCCTTACAAAAATAAATGGAATATTTGAGCTTGAAATTGTGGCACAAAACGGTGATGTGGTGTTAATCCAAATGCTCAACCCCAAATGTAACAGAAAGCCTAAAGGCTCTTCTGTTTTCAATATGTGGGCTTTTGCCCACTGACAAGGTTTGTTGAAGTAACAAAAAGTTTACATCATATGTGAATACTCAGTAAAGACTAGCCAATAAAAATTACTCTATGATGATGCATTCAGGAAAATAAATCCATGTAAAATAGTTTGTTTTCTAAACTGGATAAGTTTTTTCTAGGTGCCCTTTTGAAAGACAAATACAAATGTACTGCAGTGTGTGCAATAATCTTAAGATAATTTTAAATACCTTTGGGGGGGGTTTTATAGAATTTGACTTTTTTTAAGCAAAATGTACAAAATCCACAGGAATTCTGTAGAATGGTTCTGTTGATAGATTTTTTTATATTTTTGTAGAAATCTATAGAGAAATTGTTAAAAGTCCGCGTAGCATCTTGGGAACAGAAGCAGCTCTTATCTACAACTTTCTTTTCATAAACCTGGAGCCAGACCTACTGTATTACAACATGTATAGCCTAGTTTCAGAGCCTGCATCCAGGTCGCGTTTAGGAGTAAGCAGCTAAGCTCAAGTTCTACGATATCGCAGTGCTATTACTGTTTGAGAACTGTACCCATATAAAACGTCTACCCCCAAGACTCAGCCCCTATCTTTGGTAAAGTAGTCGCATGGCTCTCCAGTCCATTCAAGCACACCAGCACTTTAGTACTGTGGATTTACTGTATACAGGTGGGAGGAAGATATTCTGCTATTGCCAGTCTGACACATGGGGAAAAAGAGATGGCAGACGTGTCTGGAAAAATGTAAATTCCATTCTTGCAGCCCCTCGCACACAAAACTGATTTTTCATAGCTTGGTTATAGGCCGTTTATACTGTAGATATTTTGGAGGAGGGCAAAGAAAGCGCTGTTTTTGACTTCTGTGGATTGCACTCAGCACAAGGTGTATTCAAGGAGAAAAAAAAAAAAAAAACAGAAAAGAAAAAACCCACAAAAGCGTTATCATTGTAAATTAGGCTATGCCCCAGTCTCCCCTTTTCTGCCCCTTTGGCTATAATAACCCCTGTACACTATTACGCAAGGTGACTAGAGTAGGCACAGTACCATTCCAATGTCCGTAACAACCTAGTATATATTATAGAACTTTGTATTTAATAGTTAATATATTGTTATACTGTATCAGGTATAGAGGCCAAAACGAAGTCTTTTGGTCAGGGCAACAAAAGGTGGTATTCGTGGGAAAAAATTGGGTTAAAATGTTCCTTTTTAAAAAAAAAAACTAAAAAGACAAAAAATGAGTGTAAATCTTTACAAATGACAAAAACAAATGTGTCCTATTAAAAGCTTTTGAAAAGAAAACAACTGCGCACTTCTCTTTTTTTGTTGTTGCTGATGATAATCTGTATCATTCAGAGCGGTCAAATCTTTGGTCATGTTTTAATTGCGAACAGTTGGAGTAGGTATTGTATAGCAGCAGCGGACGGGAAGTTGAAAGAAAGATTGTGAAATGTCGGCCCTTTGTGAAGCAATTCAGTTTGACACCGCGAGCGAATCTGGCCCAGCGCAGGGCCCAGGGTGTGCTGGTTTACCAGCAAGACCATCAGCTGTGTTTCTGCAAATCGCACGACGCTGGCAGAGGGCAGCTTGGCAAGTCGCTTCACAACGCGAAGGCTGCTGGGACTGCAACGGAGAGACCTGCGGCCAAAGGGGAGAAAGGAATCAGGCGAAGGGGCAGATTTGATCTCTCCGTGAACACACGTTGCTGTGAAGAGGAAGATGCTGGGCCTTTCCACACATTCACACCTTCAGGGTTTCCAGCCTGAAGGACAGCAGCCTCTTCTCCGTCGTTTCTGCAGGCATTTAGCTCCTTGCAGAGCAGGAGTTGGTGGGGATGGTACTGCCCCAGAGCTGCAGATGATGTGCTGCAGGGCAGCGGAGCGCAGACCCCAGATGCTGCTTAGGTACCGCCAGAAACATTTGAACCTAAACCCTTCAGACATCTTTAGTGAATGAGTTATTTAGCTCTTCTCCCCTGGGGAGCAGCAATAGGAGGAGGAACCAGGCTCTTAGGCCCTTTGCAGCCTTGCTTCTCACTTTGGCTTGAATGATTTGATGATCACTCTGCAGCAGGAGGGACCTTAAACTGACATCCAGAGTGATTATGTTGTCTAGAGGGTGTTTTGATAAAGGCCCTCTCATAATTCCTCTGTGAGTAGAAAACAGCAGGGAGGAAGTTAGCCCTTAAATAGAGACAAAATGTGAGTCTGTGGAAAATCACATGCAAATCCACACAGAGCACGATCTGGAGGTGAGCTCTGTAATGCATCTGTGTTGTCCAGGCTGCGGGGCCAACCCCACCAGGCTGGAACCACTGAAGTGCCTTCCCACCCCTCCGAGGCTGGAGTATTAAGGTAAATTGGGCTGAGCCAAGAAAACAGGTTCCAGTAGTTCACACCTCTTTGCATACAGGTGAGTTTAGCCCTGTGGTAGTTCCTTATAGGGGATATCAAACCTCTGTTTCCAGTGCTGGGTTTTGGAGAAGCTTGGGAGGGGGGTTATTTTTCTGCTCTGTGAGTGT